ATCGATCTAAGCCGTTAGATCTATTTTCGCTATAATTACGCCATCAGGAGTCTGATCACAGCAATCCAATAGTCCTTTCCAACTATCTGACGCATTCTGAGGCCATCCGTACAGTCAGAATTTGCAAATTCAGCACAAAATAAATATATACATACATATTAAATAAATAAACAAATAATAAATTGCAGATTTGATTCCGATATCACCAAGCACCTTACTTTGTCTCGGCTTCATTTTGATATCGCCACGGCACCGCACAGGGGCACGGAATCCGTTTCAATTCATTATCGGCCTACTCGGAAATTTTGGCCCAAGTCAATTTTATTCCTTCCAAATAACAAATCTTATTCAAAAGCAATGGGGCAAATATACGTTGGACAAGAAGCTCAACTCCACTAAATTGGCAACCACTGCTGACCAAGTTCTTAGCAAACCTAACCCCGAAGGAATGCCAACACGTCGCCGACCAAACGATTGGCACAATTGCCGACCCAAGTGTAAACGGACACCGATGTTTTGATACTAGTTACTCGACAGTGCATCAACTATACCCAGCAAGATTATTCGACCATTATTAAATTCAACATTATGCATGATCATTATTCGGTCGTGCATCAACTCTATTCGGCTAAGCTACATTATTTGTCAACTTTATGCATCGTCAAACTTTATGCAGCAACATTGGCCACAGTATTCGGCAACTTTATTCACCTAACAACATTATTTGGTAAAACATTTGCCCACCGGGACATCAGTCAATTTTCCGCTTTCCAATTGGGGCACATCAGTTGATCATCATCTCGGCACCTTTAATATGCATAAATACTCGGCCAACTTGGTACAAACATTACAAGGACGATTACTTGAGTTACAAACTTCTGCTCATTTTCACACAGCTTCAAGCAAGCGTCCGTTTTGAGGCAATACATTACACACTTGGCAGACAGCAGTTTCCATATTTTTACGCGCTGTCATTTTACCAAAGCCGAACCTTCCCTGCAACATAGGGCAATGGGAATCTACATTCCTTCCCACTAACACCAGGCATTCGAAAGCAATGGGGCAAGTCTACCTTGGACTAAACGCAAACCGAGCAACTCGACAATTAAATAGTTGGCCCAATATCTACTTGGCAATTCCATATAAGCGGAGCAATATTATTGGTGATTAACACGTCCACCTTATTCGATACAGAATACATTATTCAAAGTCCTTGCCACTTTGGCACTTAGTTGCCACTTAAAATCAGCAAAAGTCTCCGAGTACAGTGCAATCTTCGCACTCGGCACAGAACGCCGTTAGCAAAGGCCTACACCCTTGCCTGGGGTTATAATACCACAGGTCTACACCCTCACCCGGGGGTAATAATACCGTGGTCCAATTTTTGACTAATATATCTACCTTATTTAATCTATCTTATTTGGTTCAGGTAATCATTTCCGTGTTGGGCCTATAGAAATATTTCTAGCTCGGCATAAAAGTCCATATTGGAAGCAATCTTCACACTTGACAAAATACTGCACCCATGCCCAGGGGTTATAATACCGCGGCCTACACCCATACCTGGGGGGTTAGAATACTGCGGCCTACACCCATGCCCGGGGGTTAGAATACCGCGGCCTACACCCATGCCTGGGGGTTAGAATACCGCGGCCTATTGTTATGATTTATTTGTATTCCTTTCTGGGTTTTAGCTCAACCCCCCTCATCTTATGATCAACATATATACATTTTTACATACATTCAAGACATACGTACATTTATACATACATTCAAGCATACATTCAAGCATATATGCAGTCATTCATTCACATATTTTATTCATTTATCCAAAGTGTTCTTTATCAAAAAACCTAACAGCTATTTGAACAGCGTAACTTGGCAAGAAAAAAACTCTCATTCCTTCTACCGCAGACAATGAAAGTTTTGGGGCAATTGTGGGAGCCAGAAAATTATAGGTATTAGCTTATTAGGCCTAACCCAAACAAATCCTACAAAGGTCCAGCCCAAATAAATATCACACCCCCTGTCTATATAAATGGGAGGCATCCTAAGTGAAAGGTATGTCTGTTCTCTCTCCACCACACACACACACCCCTTTTGATATACATATATACTATTTCTTGATTTAAGGACTAACTTTATCATCGGAGTACTCCCGGCCAGTAACCCCGGTTGGGTGGCACCGACTATGTTCCTCATTGCAGATCTACAAGGGTGAAGCTCTTCTCTTCACTGGATCTCTACAACATCCATGTGAGAGGATATTTCATGGTCTCACACCTATGTAAGTGTAGGAGGTGGTGCTGCTTCATATAAGTCCAAGGGCTTGATTCTAAAGCGCTCATAAAATAGGATATAGACACAATGCCAATCCATGTGTCATTTTGTTTGAATACTTAAGGTAACCTGTACTATGTGTGAGACAAGTCCGGTTAGTCATATAAGATCGCTAGTTCAAAAACAAGTCTACTATGTCATCTTGACTAACATTGAAGTGTCTTCACTATGTGAATGATTCAAATTGTAAGATATCTTCACCAATGCATAAGGCTGCCAAGTGAACTAAGAATCATCATCTGGTATTTTTAACATGGCGAGGGAATGTTGGTAAATTTTTAAAATGGGTTTTCAAAATTTATTGTTTAGTTTTTGGGTGTTTTCAAAACCTTTCTTATTTTTCTTTGAAAAGCTTGAAATAAGTTCAGGGACTTTCTCCCACATTGGAAAGAAAGAAAAGTATGGAGCACTTAATAAAGTGTTACATGGAATATTCCTTTGAACATGGAATCGTGGAATAGATACTAGTGTGCATGCACTCACACTGTAAGGATGGTGCTTCACACCATCCGCACACACATATGCACATGCACACGTGTGCACGTGGCGTAGGCAGTGGGCTATGTGGCGTTTGATTGCACAGTTTGCACTTGGCACAGACGTATCAGTGCAAGGCACCATGAGGGTGCTTTTCTATTTACATCAGACAGGTTGAAGCGATGAAGTAGATCCAACATGGCATGGGTGACGTGAATACAGTTAGCTCCGCATGGTAGTGATGTGATGTCCATTGGCAATGAGTTAACCAACCGATCGAACGGTTGTGTATCTGATCTAAAGCAGTTTCATCATGGTTGTTGATTAGAGATATGCGCGATCTTACGAATGAGATTGCACTCGATCATGATCAGGTGTGATCAATCAAGGCATCTATTCGGTGTGAGAATGATCTGCACCATAAATCGCCAATCCAACAGTCAGATCTGATTGGATGCGATCAAGGGACATGACCATTCGATCAGATATATTAAGGCCTATAAATAGGCTGCGAAATTAGCCATTTCAATCCATCTAAAAATATAAAAAGCATTTATGCAATTCTCTCTCTCTCTCTCTCTCTCTCTCTCTCTCTCTCTTGATTTAGGGTTTTCGATCAAGAATTTTTTAAGCAAGCTTCTGATTTTCTTACTATTAATCAAATTCTACAAACTTGATTATCAATGTCTTGGTTTTCTTGATTATACCAAAAGTATTCTGATCTACTATCGTCAGTGCAAACACTGGTCGACTTGATCCTTAGATTAGGCTTTATTGTATCTTGGAGGCGAATTTGTTTTAACCCTCTACACACCTTTTGGTGGATGCAAATATTGTCTTTAGAAAAGCGACTAAGTTATGCGATTTGAAGCACCAAATTTATGTTCTACATAGACAAGATCATTACCAAGTTTTGAAGACTTGAACACCACCAACTGAAGAATTCAAGATGAACTATTCCAACAAACCGATGACTGAGATCCACTTTAATTTCACATTAAACGTCATCATAAAATCATTTTTTTCAATACTTAAGAACATTTATTTTTTAAAATAAAATGATATTTATTCATATGTTTATAGTTACATGAATAACCTTTACTGCGATATTTATAAAGTAGACGATTTGGATTATTGATGCAGATTTATAATTAAACCCTATAAATAAATAAAAAAATGGAAAAAAATATAGAGAAATGGGCTATGAAAGAGAGCCTATCCCAACGAGTATGATGAGGATTAGTTGAAGGGGCCAATAAATGGAAGTGGACGAGTAATGAGTCGGGGGTAGAAGCGAAGAGATAGAAAGATGGAATGGTTAACAGAGTTGTAATATTTTTTTTAATTAAAATGCACGTGTTATTATAATAGCAAAGGGACAGGCAATTGGGATTGAGGTTGAAGACAGAAGATTTTCAAGCCCCTGTAGCCCTGTTTGGTAACAAATTAAAATGGGTGATATCGTGGTAATTGTCACGGTGCAAATCGGGAATCATTTTTATGGACAAAATATTTTTATTGTTAAAAGTACTATTATTTTTTATTTTTTTTTCTACGAAAATTGATATTTAGTGATAAAATATTATATTGCTGGAACCAAAATTCGTGTCAAAAAGTTTTTTTTTTTTTTTTGGTTCCCAAAAAGTATATATATTAATAACATTTTTTTAAAATTTGGTCATTAAATATCATTTTTTGACTTTTTGGATTGGTGTTTCAGTGACAACTTCCATGACAATAAAAATTAATTTCCTAAAGTTTTGTAACAAAATTTTTACTTTTGAAGATGAAAAGTTTAGTTCTCAAAATTTTTATTTATTTTAGTGTATGTATAAAACTGTGAAATGATTCAATGAAAGTAAAGAATCCGATGGAGAATCATGATTCATGAATGTATGGATCTTCCAAAAGTCAAGCCATGAGAACATGTTTTCATTTAATTTACAAGAAACTCAGTATCATTGAATTTTTTTTTTTAAAAAACAAAAAAGAAAAAGAAAAAAAAAAGATGAGTAGTGCTAGAAATATTAATTAGTATACCAACTAACACTAATTAAGACACAAGATTATATGTAAGTTTCATCACTTATTATTGGTGGCAGATAATATTATCTAATTGGTACACATCACTCTAAAAAGAAACTTATTAATATAGTAATATAAGTGAGGAATTCATTTCGTTTATCTTAAGGATAATTTGCGGTAGGAATGGAATAATTATTGCTTGATCTCTCAATCGAATGGGCATTGTACTGGTTAGTAAATCACAATTTCATTTGGAATATATACTTCTTTTCCTTTTACGGAACCAGATATCACAACGACAATTTCAACCAAAAATAAAAATCATTTCAGCAATCAAACACTATTTTACTGTTTCATACTTAATAAACGAGGTGGTTGATGAGAGCCAAAGCAATACTAGTAAGTCTGTTGAAATTCAAAACGCTTTTGCTGATTGTGTTCTTCACACTGGGACTCACTATGCTGTCATAAAATCCATCTGTACAAGTAGTCTCATCAGTGATAGCGGCACTCATCCAAGTCTTGATACTATCCATCTGAAACAGCTTGTCAGAGCTACTACCTAAAGCTCCCATTGCTTGAATAGATTGGTTGAGCTCATCAATGCTGCTTTTTATGTTCTCTATGCAGGCCTTTATGACAGCTACGTCTCTGGGAGTGAGGCCATTCTGTAGAGCAAGCTTCGACAGCAGTGTAGACGTGCTCTTGGCGGCTCTTAGGGTGACGTTGAGGGCGGCGTTGCTGAGCTTCCAGGGGTTGGTTTGAACAACGGCGGCATAGGGAGAGAAGGTTTTGAAGCAAAGTGGTGGGTATGTGGTGGTGTTGCAGGCGGCACTGATAAAGTTTGTGTTGGCTTGATTGGTGGTGGTGGTGGAGGCTGAGACTGGTTGGGTGTGGTGGGAGATGAATAGAAGAATGGTGAAAAGGAATGTGAGAACATGGAAGGAACATGGGTTTGGGAGACTGTGAGCTTCCATGTTTCCTCTGTTTCTTTTCCTTTTTGTTCTTCTTCTCTCACTAGAGATATGTATTGGTGAATGTGTTTTGGACGAGATTAGATTATTTATAGAGCAACTGTCAGGTTTGTTAGTTTAGGGGAGAGAGGGAGAGAGCGAGAGAGAGAGAGAGAGAGAGTTAGTTGTTTTGATGAATAAAGAAATGAGTTGTTTATGAATTGGGAATGTGTAATATGAACATATATTACGCTGTCAAATGCGGCAGCAGCCACATGCAATAGGGCTAAAGATACATTGAATTCTCATTCTCACATGGTACGTTAGGCCTTTCTCGTTAGAATTTTATTTTTTTGTGTTGATTAATGTAGGTCATAATTCAATTTTTTTTTTTTTCTTTTTAATCAGCAAAAGAAGGTTTTTTTTTTATAAAAACATACAAAATATGATAAATACATCAATAAAGAGGAGTAAGGATGAAGCACAAGCTCCAAGTGCCAAGCTCCAACAAACAGAGTAAAAAAAAAAAAAAAAAAAAAAAAAAAAATCAATTTATAAAGTAAACCCTACCACATATATATTATTATTTATACAAACAGTTTATTATACTCTTTTATTTTCTTCAACAAAAATTATAGAGAAGATTATTTTCTAGATGTAGTAATGTTTAAAATAGAAGATGACGTATAATTAGAAAAAGATATGAGGGAGATAATAATTTTAAATTTTTTAATAGACTGTCATATCATTAAATTTGAAGAATATGCATAATTTTTTTAATTAGAGTACACTACTATTTTTTTAATAAAGTGCAATTGGTGTATGTACAGTGCCATAAACAATCTTGTTAATCCTTGTATATTAATTTATTGTGTTTTTATTGTTTGTTTGTCCTGCAACTATCTCAACCATACTAAAAGATTGTACATTTTTCTTTATACATTTTCTTATACGTTGTGTCACTATAATTAAATACCAGGCTTCATTTATGATCATAAATTTTTGTTTATTTTATATAACACAATTTATGATCATGTTTAGATGGAAAAGGTGTTGTGTCCAAATATATGAAAAAATTGATAACATTTTCCACAAAAATGTAGGTCTTTATTTGTGAACGCCACAACACTTTTTAAGGGTGTCTAAAAAAAATTATTAAAAAAGACAAATAAAAATAAATAAATAAAGGAAGAAGAAGAAGATCAACAAGGATCCGAGCGTTTTTTTCCTAAAGTTTCCTACAATGGTGTATTGTGTGGTTGAGATTTAATGCTGAAAATTTGATGTGACTTTTCATTAAATCTCAACCACACAATATATCACTCTAGGAAACTTTAAGAAAAAAAAACTCTAAAGTATCCTTGCTCGAAGAAGATTGCAAAAGCTTACGGATAGTATGGCCGAAACGTACATAGAAAGGGGAAGATTATGAAGAAAATAAAAGATAAAGCCATTGGTGGATCCATGAAGGGAGGACTTTGCTTTCACTCCTATGTATCTGGCGAGCAATAACTATTATATATCTAAATTCCTGGGGAAGACAAAGAGAGTGTGAACTCTTCATAGCCCTGATGTAAAGCGATACAATTTGTATTGCAGAAATAGTCAAACATCTTATCCGTTTGGATGAAAAGAGCCAAGTTTTGTCCATCCCCAAATTTCTCTTCGTATGTCTCCATTAAAGTTGTAAAACGAATCAGGCTCCTACTACTTCACTGTACCATTACGACTTTCGTTTTAATGAAATTTCATTTCTCGCTGATGAAATATATATATATATTTACATTGTATTTGATTGGAGAACTTGGAAAGAAATTTTAAAAGAGAAAAGAAAAATATGCGAAAACTATGTGAAATATATGTATATTATATTTACATTTCATCTACATTTTTCTTTCCCTTTTAATTTCCTTTCCAAATCTCCCAACTAAACACAGCGTTAAAGTACGGCTTGTTAAAATTTCATTTGAGATCGATTTATTATATAAATAAGTTAATGTTGAACACATTTTGTAAATTTTAAAGTTTTCAAATCGAATTTAAACGATCTTACTTGACTAGACTGGATCGAATTCGATTGAATACACTATAAAACATAAGTTACTTGAGTTTGACCCAAGGTCGGTCCTGTGAGAATCCGAATATACAAATTAAGTAAATAATTAAATAATAATAATATTACAATCTCAAATATTTTGATGGTAAATCTTAAAGTACAAATTAAATATTTGGAAGGTCTTTCAATTAATTTTTAAACCTAAAATAAATTTATGGTGAAAGTATTTAATTTAGAGGCAAGATTTATTATTTTATAAAAAAAATAGAGGGTAAGTTTGTAAGTATATTTTGTTATATTAATAGTTATATTTTATTTAAATTAATGGGTTAGAAAATAAAATAATATAAAGAGATAACAAACTAGAGCCTTTTGTTTAGATACATAACCCTAGGTTGCCTAATAGATTCCATAGCAGCAACAGGAGGCAGCCACGGCGAGAGAGAGAGATTGAGAGAAAAGAAGAAGAAAAAAAAGGGGTTGCAAACCAGGATGGATTTTTGGGTGTGTACTAGGTCTTTATCTTTTTTCTTCCTTAAGGTTTTGTTCTTTATCCTTACTCTATGATTATTTATTTCATTGATAGAGAGGTTGTAGGTTTATGTCTTGTGTATATAGATATCCTATTAAAAAACTTGAGAAGCTAAATTTATGTGTAAAGATTGGGTGTAATTTTTAGTCCAAAAATTATGTACAAAGTCACAAATTTTAAAAATTAAGAAATCATATCAAACGGATGAATTTTAATCTGAAATTTTTACGGTAGATTAACTACATATTGAATTGCATATCTGAATTTTTTCATAATTTTTGGGAATCAAAATCCATATAAATTGAGGTATTCAAATCTGTCCAAGAAACCAGTCCGAAACAGTAAATTCGGGAGTGTTGTTCTCTTTGGGTATAAATCCAAAAATTATCAAATTAGTATCATTAGAACTGGTTACGAGTCTTGTTTCTTACGTTTTTGGCTTTGCATTGATTGCTCGTGTATATTAAGAGAACCGTCAATTTCTTTAAAGTGCTGCAGAAAATAACCTGTTTGGATATAATAAATTGTAGATAATTATTTTGATAAGAAAATCAAGTGAAACTAATTGGGTTTGGAACTTAGGATATATTAGTTGATATCTGGAGGGTTTTAGAATTTTTCGAACAACGTGGAGTGAGTTTTTAATTTTCAAAGTTAACAAATAGATTGGAAAAACTCTGTTTTATCTTAAAGTCACTTTTAGTTAAGTTTCGATCGAAACCTATGTCTTGGGTGATTTTAGACCTTGAAGAACATGAACTTAGGTAATATTTAAGAGTAACGATGAGTTGGGTTGAGCCGTGTTAGTGCGCTTTAGTTTGGGGTTACTTAGTTCTTATTCTTTAGTATTTTTAAATTAGTAGTGACATGTAATTTTCATACCTGGTTCAGGGCGCTAGTTGGACTTTTATACTCTATTCGATGATTATATTATTTCAGTTTCAAGTGAGTAGTTTCATGCTACATATTTTTATAAATGTTCCCCTACCCTGAACTGTTGGAAAATTAAATTGTTGTTTCAAGAGTAAACTGTTTTTATAAATTATTATATTATCGATGGAATCAAATTATTTCTTAAACATGTATGAACTTGGCATACTATAAACTATTTGTTTTGGTCTCATGTTTATAATGATGAACTACCTTGTTTTGTGAAACTGATGTGTATTGATTATTGGGACCATGTGTGTTTTTAGTCCAGGGAAATTATTCCACTGTGTGTGGTGACTCTGGCCACTAGGGAACAGATTCGGGTTGGGCCGTGATGACTCTAGTGCTCAACAATGGTAAGGAAAAGACCTTTAAAAAAAGCTAGGTGACCTTCAATCGGATCGTCTTTGAGAAAAGGCCCAGGTACCACCCTGAGCATGACTCTTAGTTCGATTTTGGATCCAACGGGGCTTATAGCCTTGAGAACTGTGTGGCATATTATTTGATTTTCTTGGTACCCAGAAAATTATTGGTGTTCATGTTATAATCTGTTTTAAGTGGAAAATGTCGTTTATCATGTTATTGCGAGACATGAGTATTTTAAGTATTGAACTGTGGAACCTTATTTTGGAAACAGATTGTATTTACCAAACTGTATACCAATCTAGTTATATATATCTTATTTTAGAATTGAACACTGTTTTCAAAACTGTATTTACTATCCATGTTGCTACTCACTGAGCTATCAGCTGACTTAGTTGTTTACCATTTTCAGGTGTCAGAAGGACTTACAGTGGACTCATGGCGTAACGGGGACTCAATTGCATGGACCTCTAGGGCATTTATTTAATTTGTTTTAGGTTGCTTTGTCAAGTTTTGTGCATACATTGTGGTTGGGTTTTATTTAGAATTATTTTATTTTGTGGGCGGCTTGTGTCCCATTTAGTGTATATATGTTTTTAGGAAGTTGGTTATGACTTGTTTCTCACTTGTGGTATTTCATTGGATTGAGTGTTGATTTATTTATTTCTGGGCTATCATCACATTTATTCTTTATGGTTTTAGGTTCATGTTTAGGCTTACGTGTGCCTTGGGCTAAGTCCCTGTGGGCCACGGCCGATCATGCCCGGATTTGGGGTGTGACAGGCCCTGACTTTTTGGAGACCAAAGCGAATGCAAAAAATGTGGCCCACCTCTCATACATATTTTAATATTGAGATAAACTTTGAATATTTCTTATTGCTAACACTATTAGTTTATTAAAAAAAAAAAATCTAACATAATAGATTGAATTGTAAAATTTTTAATAAACTTCAACTTATATATATATATATATTTCTCCAGAGACAATTGTAATAGATATAGTCAACTAATATTTTATAAATAATTCATGCATTTGGTAAACAATCGTCCATTACTTGTAAAAAATTCACCAATTCAATTATTTAATTTTTTTTTTTTGTACATCTTTATTTTTAAACTACTAATACTATAATTAATGTAGTATTTGGTTCATTGAAATGAAATTGAATTGAATGGAATGATCATATCTTAATCTCTTTATAGAATAATTATTATGTCAAAAAGGTAATTGATGATTTTATTTGTAATCTT